GAGGTCAAAAACTTAAAATGTGGGGTTTCGTTTGTTTTTCTCCGATTACCATTTCAAAGTGCATGTCTGGACTATTTACTAGATCAAGCGATCGAGAAGGAGCAGATAAAGACCGCAATCATAAAGGCTTAATGTAAAGCTGTAAATTTGGAGTTAACGGATAAGGGATTGCGAGAGGTCTTAATGTGAAGTCAAAAGGTGTAATACAAAGCATTTTTAGTGCAATATAAGAGTGCATATTAAACTGGCGTCATAACTAAGGACTAGAAACATGGCAAAGTACCACATTAAAAAGTGAGGATTAAAAACTTCATTTCTGAATTAAACAATGGATAAGGTCAAGGTCAGACTACACGTGTCAAATTAGAGGACGAATACCAAAACCACTGCGGAATTCTTTAAGTTGCAGAAAGACACACACTTAGCAACATCTCTTCACCATGTGTGCATCAATGAACAAAGGTCTGACGCACGAGAACCACTTCCTCCATGGCACTAACCCAAGTATTATTACGACTTCCGGAAGTGGCGATTTGGGTGAATCGCATGAATAAGTCAGAGTTGTGGAAGACAGGGAAAGTGCCAACGCATTCGTCAAACAGAAATGACTCAGCAACATGTCCCGTCACAGCTGCAAAAGCCGTTGTGACTTCAAAGAATAAGGATGTGTTAGTCCACTGCCCACTGCTGCCTTATTGGTGTCCTTTTAGCGGCTCCAGTGGTCTCCGAACCGGTGATCCACCACAGGACTCCTACTCTCACCAAGTGCCCCAACTGTGAGGCGGAGGTCGTCTCCAACGTGGAGTATAGAAATGGTCTGTGCGTTTGGCTCTCCTGTGCTGGGTGTGCTGCAATTGGGTAAGTTCACGTCTTTCTCACCTTCTTCTTTCTTCCTTCCATCTCCTAACCAACATTTTCACTGCAATGGGTTGTGAGGTGGATGGGGAACCACTGAGTCGTCTCCTGCTTAGGTGTAGCAGTTGGTTAAAGTGTGTTAAGAAACGGTAGTTTGTGGATAATTGAATGGTAATTTTGCGGTGTGGGATTGAAGACTTGTCAGGTGCGTTCGTTGAGGAGGTCAATGTCTCCTCTCCTCAAATATGCTATATGTTAGCAGTTGCAGTTTGCATTGAGGTGATAGGACGCGTTCAACTTTGGTGCCATCTGTGCGCAATGAGAGATCGGGAATTGATGGCAATGCAAGTGGGAAGTAGAGGAGGCAAACTTCTCACCCAGAGGTTACCCAGTCATCGCTGTCTGTGGGAGCGGGTTACTAATTTAATGTTCCACACTTGCAAGGTGTGAGGTCTAAGGCTTAGGAATTCGTCTTACTTGAGTGTGGCGTCACAATTGCACGACGCGTTTTGTTGACCAACTTGTGATGGGCAATAAAAGGTGGTGAATAATGAGGTGTCTGAGCTGTGCTAGTCACCATTCCTATGCAATATAGCACCATAGAAGACTCTGTGAGTCACTAGTTGGTTCAACTCCGCCCTGTAGCAGAGCATTGAGTTGCTTTAAGGTATGCAGCAAAGGGTGAAAAGAAGTGACAAACTGGCCCATTGCCTGGTCGATGCCTCAGGGAATGGAATCCAAGGCACGCAGAAGTGAAGTTTCTTAGTCGCCCAAATGACCGCCTTGATCGTGCGAACCACTATATGATGGATAACGTGTGAGAACGTAGGGTTGGAGGAGGGGCCAAGATGCCTGTCCCTACCAGCTTTTAAGACCACCTAACTGGGAGCGGGAGGTAGGGTTGGAAAGGTGGATGCGGGAAGGGGAGAAGTGAAGCGATGTTCATACTTTTTGCATTTGTAGGGGCATACTGGGCTGCTGCTTAATTCCCTTCTACGTTAAGAGCTTCAAGGATGTGGACCACTCCTGTCCCAACTGTTGCTACCGGCTGGGCGTGTGCAAGGCCCTGTAAATGCAACTGATGATGTCACATTTTTTATGCCAACAAGAATATTTTGCCCCATACTCCTCTTCCCCCTCCTTTTTCTTCACCTCTTCCTACCAATTGTTTCTTCTACCAACCGACAGTGTTTTTAGTAAATCCTATTGTTGCCAGACACAGAACCGTCGTTTCAGTAGTGCTCAAGTGAGGAAATAGAGGACACTCGTGATGCTATAGTGAACCAGAACATTGACGCACTATGCGGTTTCGAAGGTGGTAAATTGAGGCTAACCTATGGGGAGGTGGTTGGAAAGTGCGCAGGCAGCAATGGCTTCGGTGGTAAGGGTAGAACGAGGCTAAAGGAGCTAATTGTGTGCAGCAGATCATTCGCCTTGTAAATTGGTGTAGAACATTGATCTGCTGAAGGAGAGGCGCTTTCTGTTAATATCAACCCTCTCTATGCACTTTGTGCTGAAGGGTGAGATGTTCATTGTGCTTATTGAGGAGCGAAGAGAGGAAGCATAAGGGGAAAGAGGAAAGGGTTAGGATGAAAAATGAATTAACAAAGTGAGGAGGTTGGGGAGGGGCTAGCTATGATCGCGCTCCCACAAAAGCCCTGAATAATGGTATGCGTTGGTGGATGTTAACGTGTTATGCATAAGAAAGGATGCAATGTAATGGGACATGCAAAATGTTCCCACAGTTTCCGATAAGGCTGGCTGCAAGGACCCGTTGGAGCTTGTGGAGACGTGTTGAATGCATGTGGTTGTTGATATATTGGCATAATACAGCGTGGTTGCACACACACATCCAGGTCACTGTCACTACTACTACTGCTGCTAATAGCGTTACAGGGCCACACTCTATTGTGCCTTCTGCTGCTTCTCCAGTGTGCACACCTCACTTTCGTGTCAAGATGCCATACCATGGGGCGCTGGTGTGAGTAGGTTTGAAATCCTTTTCCGACAGCTAAATGGAGAATGTGTGTTTGGGTTGGAGGAAGTGAAGCATGCGGTATTGAAGACCAATCCACTGTTTGATATTACCTTAAGGAAGAGGAGGAGAAGGCAATGGAAGCACTCTGCCCTCTTCACCATGAATGACTGGGCAGCTTGATCTCTGTATAGTGTGGGCGGTGATGAAACTCTGTTTACGCCCACGTCACCTGACGGGAGAACGGCGTTAAGAGAGCTGAGAGAATGCGGCGCCATGCATCAACTAACGATGGCAACCCTCGAAGTCAGGCTATCAGTTGGCCTTGCATTTCTTTTGTCTACGTCATCGCTTTCAGCGTGCATCGTGCAGACCGTCTGTTGACTGGCTGAATTGTGATGAGACATAACTTTTGTGTTCCACCACATTTTAAGCAAATTGACACGACATTGTGTCTTCTCGTTCTACCCATAACTATTCCTCCATCGTATACTTCTATGGTGTGCAATAGTTTATGCTTAGAAATCGTCTGTCTGAATGAACTACGCTTCGCATTCATCAAACCTCATAAATGTCACTTTAAAATTTGCTCTTTTTTTAGCTTAAATGGAGGACTTGTTTAGAGCACCTGCCCAAAAATTAAAGTTGTTGTGCCTTAAGTTGTTTCGACAATCTTGTACTTTGAATTTTCGCAGACATTTGACGCTGTTACCCTATTTTGGCTTATTTGCCAGGGTCGTGTAACACTCACTTGGATAGCGGGTTAGAAAGTCTCTATGGTACCCCCACAAATACCGTTTTCACAAATTTTCCTTGTATCGGCGAATGTACGTTGTCTAAAGCCTACGGTGGGATATAAAACTGACTTTGGAAGCAAATTGACTTGTTTTCACAAAGATGTAAGCATTTCCTCGGTCAACGAAAAATGGCTGATGCTTCAGTGACCATTTTAGCAACTAGAGTTTTAAATGAGGCAATTGTTATTATTATTGAACTGTTCGCGTCATTCCTACCTGTTTTACACTTAAGTGAATTAATCACCTCCTTGTAGGTTATAGTTACTACTGCTATGACG